TTTTGATACAGGGTCTTGCACTGTCACTCAGGCTGGAGTGCAGAGGCAAAATCATGGTTCACCACAGACATGAACTCCTGGGCTGAACGGATCTTCCCACCTCAGCCTCCCAAGTAGCTAGGATTACAGGTGCACACCACTGTATCAGCCTAATTTTGTACTTTTTGTAAAGTCAAGGTCTCTCTAGGTTGCCCAGGCTGATCTCCAACTCGTGCTTCAGCCTCTTAAGGTGCTAGGATTACAGGCATGAGCCAGTGCACTCGGTCATTTTAACTATTTTTAAGTGTACAGTTCAGTAATGTTAATTATATTCAAATTTTGCAACCAATCTCCAGAACTTTTTTGTTTTGCAAAATTGAACTGCAAACAACTTCTCCTTTTTCACTCCCGCTAGCTTCTGTCAACCACCATTCTACTTTCTGTTTCTATGAGTTTGACTTCTCTTGCTGCCTCATATATAGGAAATCATACAGTACTTGCCTTTTTATGACTGCCCTCTTTCACTTAGCATAATGTCCCCAAGGTTCATCCATGTTGTAGCATGTGTCAGAATTTCCTTCCTTTTTAAGGCTGAATAGTATTGCATTGTATGTTTATACCACATTTTGTTTAACCATTTATCCGTCGATGGCCATTTGAGTTGCTTACACTTTTTGGCTATAGGGAATAATGCTGCTATGAACGTCTATGTAAAAATATCTCTTTTAGATCGTGATTTCAGCTCTTTTAGATGTATACCCAGACATGGTACTGCACTGCTGGATCATATGGTAATTCTATTTTTAAGTTTTTGAGGCATCCACCATAAACAGTTGCACCATTTTACATCCCATCAACAGTGCACAAGGGTTTCAATCTCTCCACATCCTCACAACATTTTTTTTCTTTTCTTTTCTTTCTTTCTCTTTCTTTGTCTTTCTTTCTTCCTTTCCTCCTTCCTTCCTTCCTTTCTCTCTCTTTCTTTCTTTTTTTGGATAGCATCCATCCAATGAGCATAAGGTGATATCTCACTGTGGTTTTGATTTGCATTTCTCTAATGTTGACCACCCTTTCATAAGCATTTTGGCCATTTATGTGTCTTCTTTGGAGAAATGAATATTCCAACCCATTTTTTATTGGATTATTTGGCATTTTGTGATTGAGCTGTAGTTTTTTGTATATTCTGGATATTAATGACTTATCAGATATGTGATTTGAAAATATTTTCTCCCATTCTGTAGGTTAGGTAATCACTTTGTTGATTGCACAAAAATTTCACTCTTTTGATGCACAGAACTTTTACTTTTGATACAGTCCAATTTATCTGTTTTTGCTTTTGTTGCCTGTGCTTTTGGTGTCCTATTCAAGAGATCATTGACAAATCTAATGTCATGAAATTTTCCTCTATGTTTCCTTGTAAGAGTTTTATAGTTTTAGGTCTGACGTTTAGTTCTTTGATCCATTTTGAATAAATTTTTGAGTATGGTATAAGGTAAGGCTAGCTCTAACTTCATTCTTTTGCATGTGGATAGCCAGTTTGCCCAATATCATTTGTTGGAAAGACTATCCTTTCGCCCAGTGAATGGTCTTTGCACTCTTACCAAAATAATTATACTTTTATTTTTGTGATTATTTGATTCATGTCTGTCTCTCTCACTGAGCTATAAGCTCCAAGAGGGCAAGAATCTTGTTAATTTTACTATTTTACCTTTAGTGCCTAGTACATAATAAAGACTCAAAAAAGTTTTATTGAATGAGCAAATAAATGCTTGAAAAACACTTAGCACAGTGTCTGCCACTAAATAAAACTTCAATAGACAGGAATGATTATTGTCATTGCTGTTGTTATTCAACCCATTGTACCTTTTGCCTGGGGCATACATGGCTTAATATGAAGAAAGTGAAAATAAAACTTACTTCCTCAGAGAAATACACAAAAGCCAAAGGCAGAGTGTACAATGATTCAGCCTTTGACATCTGGCAGATTTGGTTCAAACATTGGTCCTATCTCTTTCTTGTGTGATTCTTAACATATTTAATCAACTTCTCTCCAAGTCTCAGTTTCCTCATCTGTAAAATGAAGGTGATATTTATCTCATAAGATTGTTACATGGGTTGAATAAAACATGTATAATGCCTTTGCATAGTATCTGGCATTTATAATAAGCCTCCAATAAATGGTTCTTCTATTATTTCTTCACAGATCATTAGAACCTCTACGGTTTCCCCTCAGTTTGGTTTTGCTATCATCTCTAAAAAGGTTACTTTCTTAGCTATTGTCTCCATTTATAAGACAATTTAAAAGCGATGACAAGGGTAAATAAGCCTGAATGGAAAATATTCGATTAGGACACTTAAGGCAAAATATCACGAAAGAGTTCCTATCAGACCTGGAAATTAGCACAAACAGCCTATGCATTTTTTCTCTTGACCAAAATGGAAAACATCTCATTAGTGAAGATCCTGACATTATAGAGTATGTCTGTGAGGATAAAGATTTTTCAGGAACAGCACCTCCATTTTTAAGAAGGTATTGTTTTATGAGAAAGTATGCTAAGAAGGAAATATCTCCTTGAGAGTTTTACAGACTCATACTGCCAGAAAAGACCCCCAGAAAGGATCTGCTTCACCAAAGCCCCAAGGAGGGTAAATGATTAAACCTTCCAGTGTTGATAGGCTTGTATCTCATATTGGTGACTTATTAATTACTTGACCTTTTCCACAGTGCACTTAGCATAGTAAATTATACTCTTCTATTGGGAGTTGGGTGACTTACATGACTCTTTGCAACTTAATCAGGGCTGGGCTCAATATAAGTCACCCAGTGAACATATTGTAGCTGATTGCTTGTTTTTACTATGTGGTGTGACAGTTTTGTCGCAGCTTGGAAAGAAAGCACCAAGAAATATAGATAAAAGAATTTAAGGGAGAGATTTAATTTTCCATGTTTACCTTTGAAATCTTTCATAGCTAAAAACAGAAGGAAAAATTCCAGTGATATGTGAGATTTTGTTTTTCTACATAAAAGACAGTTAGTAGAACTATTTTCAATTAGTAGAAACAAGTCCAGTGCCCCCTTTTCTGTCCCTGCTCTCTTTGATACCTTTTCAATCCTAATATTAGCGACTCTCCCCTTTTCTGAGAAAATCTTGTTTCTTCTGTTAGGTGTTTTCTCCCCAAGAATTGAACCACTTCATTTCTGTTGACTTCTCATTCTTTTCCTAACTATGCATAATTCTGTAATTCAACAAATATATAGTCATTTATTTTTTTTACCAAATATATATGGAGTACCACTATGCTTCAGACACTTTCTGGGAGTTTCGGGTGAAGGGGAAAAAAAGGATATAAACAAAATGAATAAAAGAGAATTCCAAGAAGTGATAAGGGATATCAAGCTACTCAATTATTCAACATTCAACAAATGCCTTTAGAGCAATTACTACACATTAGGCATTGTTCTAGATGCTGAGAATCCTCTCTCATGGATGTGAATTGAGCCTCCTCAGGGCGAGTAGGATAGGACAAACAGTTGAAGGGAGGGGCCCAGTTAGTAAAATGAAGTGACATTTTAGTATAGGTTGATGGGGAAGTGGATTGCGGTGGGGACTGAAGAAAGGGAAAAGAAAGGAGGATCTAAATGAAATTTTGAAAGACAAAATTGACAGGGTGTGGTGACTAGCTGAACATGTAGAAAAAAATAGAGTGCTAAGACAAAGCCAATACCAGTGTCTGTCTGTATGACTAGGAGAATAGGGAGCCTTCCCATCATTCATTCTGCCCTTCTTAACTTAACCCTGATTAGTTAAGTTATTCAATGATTCTCATTCCCCAGCTATATTGATTGGTTCCGGGATAATCATGTGCCCCACTATCAAGCTGATGAAAGAGAGTGAATCCTAGAACATGGGCAGTATCTATTGGATAAGACCCCTTTTCTCTTGTCCTAGATGTATAAGGAGATGAAGTCTGAAACAGTGGCCGCTGGTGTGCTACCTCAAAGGGAGAGCCTGGAGCTCTGGGAGCTACCTTGTTGCACCTAAGGATGAAGCCAATACCACAGAATGCATAATGTTAAGACTGGGAGAAAGTGAATCTTCAGTGATATAATTTGAGTCCTGGATCAAGCCTCACTTGAAGCTAGCATACATCTCGATTTTCAATTATGTGAGCCAATAGATTCTTTGTATTTTTAAGTTTGTTCGAGTTTTCTGTCACTTGCAACTCAAAGAATCCTGACTAATGCAATCCTGGTTAGCATTTAGCATAGTGTTGAGTCCCCAGGAGGCCAGTGAGTATTCGCGATCATAAATGGTTCTGTGACTGTATATATTTTTGTTGACTTTTAAACCACATGTTCAGTGTACAGTGACACTGTGCTGTTTCCAAAGGCAATATTGTTTCCACTGTCAAAAGTTTTTAGTGACTTATTCATTGATATTAAAGAAAGGAGGGCAAAATGAATCATTTTTATTTGTATGGTACTAGTACAATTTGTTACACAGATACATTGCATAGTGGCGAAGTCTGGGCTTGTAGCATAACCATCACCTGAACAATGCACATTGTACTCATTAAGTAATTTCTCATCCCTGAACCCCTCTCACCCTTCTGAGTCTCCAATGTCTATTATTCCATATGCCATGTCCATATTCACACATTGTTTAGCTCTGCGTTATAAGTGAGAACATGCAGTATTTGACTGTTTCTGAGTTTTTCACGTAAGACAATGGCTTCCAGTTCCATACATGTTGCTGCAAAAGAATTGATTTCATTTTTTATGGCTGAATAATATTCCACTGTGTGTGTATACATATGTATGTATATATACCACACAAAATGAATCTTTAGACAGAGGTTTACAGGACTAGCACCAGAAGAAATGGGGAAGGAAACACATTTGTAGTCAGGTCCTCTTCTGCTCCCTGGAGTGCTCTTTTGCATTTCTTATGCCTTCTCCAACCTAGTGATGAAATCAGCCCTGGATCCTTGTTTCCAGAGAGCTTATTCAGCAGCCAGTGTCAGAACAGTGGTTCTTAATTTTTAGGTGTACTAGACTTACTTGTGGAGCTCATAAAAATACACATCCCTGCAACATGTTCCAGGAGATTCAGGTTCAGTATGTCTTGGGTGGGGCCCAGGAATCAACATTTTTAACATTTTTCATAAGCTTCCAGGTGATTCTGATGCAGTTATCACTTGGAGAAACACCATTGTCTTAAGATGGATTCGCCAAAAGCTGGTCCTGATAGGGTATTCATGAGCCAGTGATTTAGTAAGGAAGTGCTTTCAGGAGAAACTTCGTCATTAATGAGACAAGTAGGAAAGGGAACCAAACAACGGCCAGATTTCAGGCAAAGTCCTCGGAAGGGTAGCTTCAGCCTGATCCCACGGAGGACCTCTGGAGTGTAAGTAACCCCTCAGAGTTGTCCCCTCTTCCCCAGTCAAGACTTTCATATTCTTGCACTATGGGACGTTGGCTAACAGCTAATCACTGGATGGGGGAAACCTAAACTCCCAGGTACTTCCACGTGGGCAAAATGATTCCAGTAGCTTCCAGAAAGTCCTCTGGAGTCACAGGCATGGGCTTTGGAAGCAAAAATACACTGAAGTCAAGGCACACAGAAATGGCAAAGGGGATCCGAAGGAATTTGAATGGAGCACCTACAGTGTCTGCTGAAACCATTTAAAGGATTTCATGTTTACTATAGGAGTATTTGGATTTTTAAAAGTAACTAAGGGAGAGAAAAACATGCACCCAATGCAAAGGGAATAATTACTTAAAAGTAGAGTTCTGTTTATGCATGGGGTTTACAGGGAACTCAGTCTACACATAAGACTCTAGTACCACTGAAATCTGCAATCTTTCAGTGAGTGAACTCTTTAAAATGGCAATTGATCCCTCTCATTATCTGGCCCCTGCCTATTTCTCTGATTCCCTCTTGCCTCTTTCTTCTTATAGGCTATGATCTAGCCATGACTTACTTCTCCAAAAGAGCATGTTCTTCTTCTAGAAGGGCATATTCTTGCTCACGTCCAAGACTTCAGAAATGTTGTTTTCTCTACCGAGAATCAACTGGCCCCTACTCATTCGCCTGATTAATTTCTATATTTTCCTTAGTCTTGGTCTAAACATTTTTTCATTTGGGCCTTCCCCAACCCATAAATCCTCTCAATATTTGCTCCCTGTACTTCCCAAACCCTAACAAACATCACTCTTCAATGTAATTGCTTGCCAACAAGTTGTTTTCTTTTAGAATGAAGTCCAGAGAGTGCAGGGACCATTTTCAGCTATAGCCCCCATGGCTAAACAGACATTCATTGAATAAATATAAAATAATTTGCAAAATGTTATCAGAGTGTAAGTCTAATATATGTAGCTCTTTCTGGAGGGGGGGGTTGCCTTTCACTTTAGCTTAGAACATCCTGTTTACATCATGAGGCAATAACTACTCTAGTTGAGAACAGTGTCATTCTTAATTTTATTCATTAATTCAGTAATAATTTATATCTTTAAACAATCACATTACAAAGTAAGGTTGAACTGTAAATTGCCTAAATTAGCCCTGTGCCACACTGACCTCTGTGTGTGGCCCTCATGCTAATATTTCTCTGGAGTATGTGTTTCCCTTGTATATCTGTGTCATGCTGAAATGATGTGGGAGCCCGACAACCTGAGAATGTCTAAAGCAGTTGTGAGGAAAGTCCAAGACCTCAAAGTCACTGAAAATTTGCACTGACATCTGAGAATCAAATTTGTTTAGCAGCAACTTCATCCTTGTGGGGTTTTAGATGTTTCTGATTTTTTTAAAGGCCCATCAGTTATATACTAGATGTATATCCACATTATGATGAAGATGTAGAACTGTTTTATTGGTAATTTTCCTAGTATTAGAAATCAGCCAAACACAGTGGCTCAGCACTTTGGGAGGCCAAGGAAGGAGGATCACTTGAGGTCAGGAGTTTGAGAACAGCCTGGCCAACATGGTGAAACCCCACCTCTACTAAAAATACAAAAATTAGCTGGGCATGGTGGTGGGCACCTGTAATCCCAGCTACTTGGGAGGCTGAGGCAGGAGAATCGCTTGAACCCAGGAGGTGGAGGTTGCAGTGAGCCAAGATTGTGCCACTGCACTCCAGCCTGCTGCTGAAGCCCATATTCCCCCTACTTCTCCCTTGTCCACCTCCTAAGAGGAGGCAAGAGAAGACAAATACCCATGTCCCCAGCTTCCCTTGCAGGTAAGTGTTGCTGTGTGTGACTCTGTCCTGGCCCATGAGATGGGAAAAAGATATTTTCTTTCCTTAATAAATGAGAGAGGGAGCAGAAAGGCCTCTCCTGTCCTTACTGCCCTCCTGCTTCCTGCCTTTAATGTCTGAAATTGTGGCAGCCATCTCATGATGATAAGACAAGCCTGAGAATGAGATGCTAACATTACAAGGATGGCAGAGTGGAACAAATAAACCTAGGTCACTGATGAGGCAGTCAAATAGCTGATCAATGTTAGTAACCACACATCTCCAGGCTCTTTGCTACATGGAAAAGAGCACCCGGCCCCCTTACATTTGTTTAAACCACTGTTAGTTGAATATTCAGTTACTGACATCTGAACACAATCTAATAGATGCACTTACTTGAACATTTTCTTTGTGGAAATGAAACAGAACTAAATTATTGACACCTGACCCCCTAATACATGGGCTTATTTGTTGGAACAGTATTGAATTTTTGGAAGACACCCAGAGAAAAATTAATTTAAAAGGTTTGGTTATTTTAGTCCCCGAAGCAGAGAGGATCTACCTCTAGTCATTATACATGGCACAACTTCTGAGGGATGTGTATAGCAGAGTGTTTCTGTATGACTAAATATCACACTTGGAACTGGGAGATATAAGTTCAGATTAGGAGGAAAAAGTCCTGAGCTTTGTGCCGATTGGCAGACCTTGAACCACTCAAAGCCTGTGACCAGGGAATGCCAATAGCTGATTAAATTAGGGTTATCGCCGTGGCAAGGGCGCTGCATGTGTTAGTTTAATTAATGAGAGTACACCTTACCAGCTAAGATGGTTGCAATCTCACCTCAAGCCCAGAGCTGCTACCCTATAGTGGGGGAGAGGGGTGGGATGGCTCTTGGGAGAGCAACCACTACATTTTCCCATCTGTAAGTGAGGGAATTGGACCAGCTGACCTCGGAGGCTCTTTCCAGATCCAAACTAGCTGTGATTCCATGAGCAGAGCGTTACTTACCTTTACAATCGTCTCTCTTTTTTCACTTCCACTTCCTTTTCTGTTTTCCTTTATAATTGTCATTTTCTGCCTCTGAGCATAGGTCCCTGTGGAAAATAACAAACCCCAAAATGAAGTTGACAAGGCTTGGTATAGCTTAGTCTTGGGCTGGGGAAAAGAAGTGAAGCTGACAAGGTGACTTGAGAGGGTCCCTGGGCACTTCAGGGCAGAATAGAGTGACGCCTTATTTATAGGGCATGAGCTGGACATGCCAACTTGTGGTAACTCTTGGACCCTTAAAGGAGGCAATGTTTCTTAAGTTCCGAGGCCCCCTTCTCTAGAGAATGCACAAGCTCTCTGAGAAAGGAGGAAAACCGTGTGCAATGTCCTCTGATCTGCATGTTTTTTTAAAAAAAGGTTTAGTACTCAAATCCTTAGCAGGCAAATCTCTCAGCCTTTTGAGGGAGTGGTCAAGAGTTTGCATGAAACGTTTCTGAAGAGAAAATAGGCTATGAGTCTCCACATCACCCCCTCCGCTTTGGTATTAATAAATAATTTTTTTGAAAAAATTACCTCACTGAGAAATTTGCCAGACGATTTCTGGAAACTTGACTTACGAACTAATTGGGCACTTTTGCTGTGCGGAGGAACAAAGACTCTATTGGTCTTCAACTGAGGCATATACCTGTCTGATGGCGTTGGCTCATTCCGCACATGCTCAGTTGAACAGAAATCTTCATTTTGAATGCAACCTAGCACAGCGGCAACACCCAGAACCCCACTCCCTGGCTGCTCCTGTGCCTGCACTCCCTCTAGTTGCATTTTGTTCCTGACAAGTCTAACATTTATAGGAAGTATAGAGGGCAGAGTAGGTGTTGGGAGTTTGGGGGCAATATACAAAGGAGCTTAAAGTCGCAGTTTGTCCCTGCCTTCCTGGTTTCTCTCTATGTTGTCTCTAGTGAGGGTAAGCGCTGGATAGGTATTCGCTGAGTTTGGGCCAGAACGTGGGAGAAGCTGTCTCCATAGATGACCGTGTGCTGCTGTCGCACACCTTCCGAGGCAGTTTTTGTCTAGTCCTTTTATCGGACGGCCTACCCTTACCCCTAGCCCTAGTCTTCACTAAGGAATGACAGGGTGGCACTAAAAGCATCCGCTGCCAAGCACGGCTTCAGTGACAACCTCTCTCTACCTCTCTTTTAGCCTTCTCATTCATTCGCACCCTTTCCCTGCCTCTTTTCCTGACAAAAAACTGGGAAAGGCTCCCTGCGATTACAAAAGAAGGGGTAACGGCCGGAGTTCCGTGCCTCTTGCCGGACAACGAGCGTGCAGCCGTGGACCTTTTGTCTCCATCCTCTTTCGCGGCTTGGTCGCGCCTAGGCGCGGAGGCGACGACCCCAACCAGCCCCGCCTCAGCAACTGCAGCCGACGCGCCCCACTCGCCAACCCTCCGCGCCCTCTAGAATCCCAGTGCCCGCCCTTTCGCCGTGACGCGACTGGTGCCGCGCGCATGCGCCGCTCCCCTTTCCCTGGGCCGCCACCTCCCTACAGGCTGGAGTGGGCGGGGCCTGTGATTCTGGAAGCGGCGCCGCAGACGGGGGAGGAGGGCGTGTCTGCGCGAGGCGGGTGTGCGGGGCTGGCGAGTCGGTCGGCTGCTGAGGCTGAGGGGCGGAGCAGAAGGCGGCAGCCGCGGCTCCCGCCCGCACAGAGCGCCGGTCCCGCGAAGCCCCCTCCCACTCCTGGGCGGGCGGCGGCGGCTGCAGAAGGAGGAGAAAGAGGAGGGAGCGTCTCTGCCACCGCCTCCTGGTCCCCAGCGCCGATCAGCCGCCGCCACCTCCCTCCGCGACGATCCTCCCTCCATGGTCCTGCCGCGGCCGCCTCTATAGTCCGAGCTGCTCCGCGACGCGACGGAGCCGGTCTCGGACAGAGGGAGCGGTCGCGGCCTCGCAGCCCGCGCGGGCTGACGAGCCGAGAGAGCGGGACGCCGCGCGGTCCCCGAGGATTCGCACGCCGGGCAGCGCGGCCCGAGCAGCGCGAGGAGCAGCGGGCGGGCGGGCGGCGCCGGGCCCGGGCCGCCCTCGCTCCCGCGCCCCGGCCCCGCCGCCCGCGCCGGGGCGGTAGCCCGCAGAGGAAGGCGCCGCAGTCTCTGGGCCTCGCGGCCCCACTCGAGCGTCCTCGGCGCCGAGGGCTCGCGGGTCCTGAGGGGAGGAGGCGAGCCCGGGGCTGGGCACTGAGCTCTTGGGCGCCCCCACCCCCGTTTTCGAAGCCCTCCACGCTGCGGCCGCTATCCCCTCCGGACCATGGCCGACGACGACGTGCTGTTCGAGGATGTGTACGAGCTGTGCGAGGTGATCGGCAAGTGAGTCTCCACGCGAGGGAGCGGGAGTGTGGAAAAATGCATTTCAGTGATACCCCGGTCTTCCCGCACCCGCTCGGGGCCTGCCCCCTGCCCTCCCTCCCCTCTTCCCCTCTCGTCCTCCTCATCCTGGAGTATTTATAGACGTGTACCTGGAGCTCCTGCCAGGCGGGGGCCTTGGGGTTCCTAGCCATCCATTGAGGCCAACGAGCCTAGGTTGGCCACCCCGTAAGGCGTGGGGCCGGCTGCCTGCATTTTATCTGACGGTTGCACAGGGACGTGGCACAACCGATTTTATAGTTGCTTCAGTTAGGGTTATTGTTACCTTGCATGTACCATAGACCATTTTTGAAAAGAGCAGCTTGCATTTCCTTTGCTTGTGTGGAGAGAGAGAGATAGTTCAAGATTTTAGTTGTGGGGTGTGTGTCTATTGTGCAGGATATTAGACAGATGCCTTTGTGTACACCCCATGCCCGGATTGGAAGGGGTCATTTAAGACGGGGTGCGTTCAGTTTCAGCAAATTCCCCCCTGGTGTACACGAACGTGGAAAGAGTTGGGGGCATTCGAATTTTTAATGCCTCGTTATGCAATGACTGTTCAATCAGTGCTCGAGGCTTCCCTAGACTGTTGTTGGGATGATGGTTAGCAAGGTAGAGCCGTCTGCTTTGAGTCACCGGGCTGGTCTAGAATATAGAACTGACAGTCCAAATGCTCATCCTTTCATCTGTGTTGTATAATTACGCTAGGGAAAAGCAGGGAATCAGATTAATCACAGTGCTGATTGAGAATTAAATCTGCAGTTCCTCATCTAATTGTCCATTCCTTAAATCTATTTTGAATAGTTTCCTTTTCATTCTTGTCAAACAGTATTCCAACTGCACAGTCCTGCTAATTTGCTTGTGAAGGAAATGCTGGCAATCTGAACTTGATTTCCTAACACAGCGTGTATTCCGTGGCTTAATAAGGATCGCTAGAGCTACCATTGAAATTTTTTTTTTTTTTTGAAGCGGTGCTTTATTGTCTATTTTAAGGTCCACAGTTGGGAACTGAAACCAAGACCTTAGAGCAGTTGGCCCTATCTCTTTTAAGTTGTCTGCAGTACTCAATTTCAATTTGAGTGCTAATTTGTTTCCTTTTCTTTCCATATTGAGATATTACAGTGTTGCCTCTCATGGTGAAATTGTGGATAGAGCTTGCTACACACTTTACTCAGACACAATTGATATGAGGACATGTTACTCCTTGCCCTATTGTTACATGATCAGCCAGACTGTTAAAAGGAAAGTATCCAAATGTGTCCTGTTAAAGTGGTTGTGGAAGTGTTTTGGAACAGCACTGTCCAAAAGCTGTATTATGAGCCACATTTGTAATTTAAAATTTTCTAGTAGCCACATTTAATAAAAAGAAAGAGGTGTAATTAATTTTAATAAAATATTTAACTCAGTAAATTGAAACATTTCAACATGTAATCAATATGAAAAAATATTAACGAAATATTTTACATCTTTCATACTAAGTGTTTGAAATCCCAGTGTGTATTTTACACTAACAGCACATCTCAATTCTGACACTAAGCTAAATTTCATCAGAAATTCTTAATCTGTATTTAGGTTTCATAAAATTTGCATTTGCAAAAGTAGATTCACATACCCAAGTGGTTCCCAGTATATATAAAAGTTTTCCAGTAACCGAATCAAGTATCTTTTTCTAAATTTAAATTTTAATTAATGAAAATTAAATAAAATTCAAAATTCCGTTTCCCAGTCTGACCAGCCACATTTCAGGTGCTCAGTACCAACATGTGAATAGCACAGTTTTGGGGAGAAAAATGTCTCAAAAATCTCCTTGGTTTCCTTATTCTTAATAGCACCCAATGAAGGTAAATTAGGTGTTTTCCAAAAGCCTCCAAATGACTGTATGTGTGGGTGAATGATGTTTGTTGCATCTTAGTTATAGCTGATGTAAATAAACTAGCAATTCATAATTGGAAAATGTGCGATTAAAATGTTAATTATATTGTGAAGATGGAAAATAGCCATCACTGAATCAGTTCTGGTAACTAGTTCTGATTCCTTAAAGTCGGGAAGGATGATGATGTGATCTCTTTGGATATCAAAAAGAAATGGTCATCATCACATTAACAGTCAGGATTCCACTGATTTGTAATTGATAGAATATTTTCAGTAAATACCCCTGGGAGAATAAAAATCATCTTTTCTGGCTATTTCGGAGCTGCATAAAGAGGGGCAGCAAGCTAATTTTGAGGTGATAGGTACTCTATGGCTATCTTAACTACTGTCAACTGTGAAATCTCATTCATATCCTACAAAATCTGACTTGGTCAGTGCCAATTATAAAATGCCATTACATGAAATTATGAATTCAAGCTAGTCTTATTGTTAAAGAATGTAATAATAGTGTTCCTCAACCTGAGTGAAGGTTGAAGGTTGAAGGTTTCTCTGGTAAATTGTCTTAGTATATATTGATATGGAAATTGAAGTTAGCTTGAGATTTCTTTGCAGGGACCTTGACAGCATACATTTTTAACTTAGAATTTGTTCACCTCTGAATTTGAACAGAAAAGCCTTGGAGATGTTCGCATGTACTGAAAACCTTTTTATTGATTTCTATCCAAGTTCTGTGGAATTTTGATTTTCTTTTATAGCAAATTAGTATCACAAATTGTTTTTCACCACTAGATCTTAATAGGTTTAAATTTTTACTAAGTTACTTTAAAATAGATTTCACTTTTCAAGACTAATTGACCACCCACTCACTCCTCTACCTATCCAACCACCTACTCGTTTACCCACTGTGTACTTGGCCTTACTTGATGGCATAAATGAAAGTTCTCATTTAATTTAGACCTTTCAATGTGTTTTTTTTTCCCCTTGGTTGAGAAAGACAACTTACAGAGTTAATGAGGTTTTGAAATATAAGATCATTATTTGGAATATGTTTTCTTTCCAGTGGCTGCAGCCTTTACCCTTGTTAAAGCTATCTTTGAGGGAACATGTGCCCGATTCTTTACAAATATTGGAAGGATGCCATTTCCCTTTTTAAAAATTAAAACTCTTTTCCCTGTGTTTCTCATTTTTGAAAATCTTGCAGAAACTCCTTTGAATGCCTGTTGTTTCTGTAACATTTTCTATGTAACTATCTTTCAGATGACTGAAACAAATCTCCAATAATAGGACCTTATCATAGTCCCAAAACTTCTTGTTTTAGCAAATAAAATGTAGCAATTACTGGAAAAGAAAGGCATTATGCAAATAAAGGTTAATGACTAATTTTTATGTCATGATCATTATACAATTGTAAGTGTACAACTAGTAATACTACATGAAGGAAATTTAAGACAATTCATCCAAATTAAAACACAGAAAAATGCCTACTTTCTTGGTACAGCAGTGTCTGTGAAAGAGAATGTACACCATTTATACCATTTTTACCTTGTGTTGGCTGAATATTTGCCCTGGTATTTAGTAACCTGTAGCTTCTGATTTTCCTGCTCTGGTAGGACATATACTAAAATTGGAATGATGCAGCATGACCCTTGCTCAAGGATGACATGCAACTTTGTGAGGCATTTGCTTACACCTCGAGAGCACTTATATTTAATTACAGTTACTTATTTATGGATCTCTCTAGTTCACTAATAAGGAGCTTCTTGAGGGCAGGGAATGTTTCTTACACATCTTTCTCCATTAACATAGTGCCTGCAATGTAACAGCCTTTCATTAGCTGTGAAATGAGTTGAGTAGTTTTAATAAAATCTCACTAAAGAGGCAAAAAAGCATGTTTATCAACCTCAGAGCAATTATTGTCTCAAGAGCCTGTATTAGTTTAAAGTAGTGGTTCTCCACCTGGCTGCATATTAGAATCATCAGGGGAGCTTTTAAAAAAGATCAATGACAGAGTCCTGTGTCAAAGCAGTGAAATAGGAGTTTCTGGGAGTGGGTCGTGGTCACTGGCATTTTTTAAAGCTCTTTATGTGATTCTCATGTGCAGCTATGATGGGGAGTCATTGGCTTAAACCTTAGATTATGTATGTAATATTTTGGGACTGGCTTTTCAGAGGCTTGCAATTTTTACAAAGTAGAATAAACTCTTTTTGTAAGGTATTGAAGCTAAATGGCCAAAACGTGGATTTTTTGTCTTCTATGCACTTGTGTTTCTCAGCCTTATTGTGTAAGAATTTAGCTTTAGCTTGTGTTTGGCTTTGATTTCTTGGGCCTTTTAAGATCCACATTGATTTATGACACTCATCTAATGCTAACATGGCAATTGTCTGATGTTTGGAACAACACAGAACAAGGATTGCTTCAATAACAGTTGATGATGGTTTTCCACTCTAATGGCTTGATTTAATATTAAGAAATTTATCAGTTTAGTATGGATTGTGTTTGTACATACACTCTATTAAAAGAGTACGGTTAAGTTGCTGGTATGCTTTCAATTACATACTTGTGATTCCAGTGATGCTGTTAGCCAGAGAATTGAGTTAATGCAGTCTTTATGTAAATACTGGATTAATAATATGTAAAGTATATAATTCAGCATACAGATAAATTCAGCTTTACTAATTTTTACTAATTACTATGGCTTTCACATGTATTGATTCACGCAGTGATTTGCGTTTCTAATACCTTAGGGAGAATGTCACATCGTGTTGAAAAAATCTTTCCTGGAAATTTTAACTAGGCATTGTTGGTAAACTAGTTTTTAATGTTAGGAAAAGATCAAATGTTTGTCTGAAGGAACCAATAATTTTCCAGAAACGAGTAGATATTCCAAAAATACCAGTGATCGTGAAAGAAGTGCATGATCACAGTGACAACCAAGTAACAAGGTAAAAGAAATGATCAGCAGCTAAACTGTTGGTTGTCCAGAAAGAATGCAAGCCATGGGAGTTAAGCTGTACTTGTACAGAGGAAAAACTGAACACAGGGTGTGTATCCTACAGCTATCAGGCCTCATTGAGAGTAGGGAAGCAATATTG